GGAGCCTGTCAGTGGAAAAAACAAACAAACAAGAACTTTTAATAGACGTATTTTGATAGGGCTGTTTATCCCCAAGAATTAGTGGACATTAAATGGCAGCCATTGTAGCCCATTGAAATAAACGTTACTTCTCACTTTGAGAATTCTCCGTAACTCCTTGCATTTTCAGTTAAACTGAAACACTTTAAGATTTCTGGTTTACGGATTGAGAGTCTAACCTGTCCTTTCCCTGGGTTCTCCTTGGGGATGAGCAGAGAAACCACTGAGCCGTACTTCTGGCACTCCTCTTTCATGTCCTCCAGGATGTCTGGGAGAAATAATTACATTTTTTAAACTTCCTTTACGTCTTTACACACACAAAGGAAATCCATTAATTCAATCTAAAACATTCAAACTGTAAAGGCAGAACATGAAAAATATAGTGTTATACCTTCATACTCTTCTTCATTGTGCAGATGGCTGTCATCAATCAGGTTGAGCAGACGCAGGACAGGAGAGGGCAGCAGAACCAGGTCCTCAATGTGAGGAGCTGACACACACAAACACACAGACAGATATGGTTCACTGAGAGATATTTTAATCTTGGTGGACGACTAAAATACTGACACATACCGAAGGGAATACTGAAGAATGGACTCAGCAGGGCAGTTTCAGCTGTGCATCTTTGCTTTGCGTCGTTGAGAAGCATGCTGCAGACACAAAGTAACAATTGAACTCTGTTACTACAGGCAGACATTCCTCTGATTAGAAAAGAAAGCAGGCCAATGCACAGTACGGTACATAGCATGGTAGTCATATCTGAACAATTGGAATTGGTCCTTACTGCTATATGTGTGAGAACATACCTTTTGATAAGGTCTCTGAGGTGATAGACAGGGATGGCAGGGCACACCAGACTGTTGCTGGCAAAAATGTGGTCTACAATGGCAGCACTGTTATCCTAAAGGAGCAGAGAACAGACAAAAGGTTCTGCTCTGTCTGACTTTTCCTCACTGATAACAGCTGATTCAAAAACTTGTGAAACATCTACAAACTTCCTTTATTCCTTTGATTAAGTCCAATATTATTTATTTAATATTACTATTTATCCTGGTTTCTTGTTTTATGTATTTTTATTCCATATGTTAATGCCTGTCAATTTGTTAACTCAAGGCTAATTGTCATACTTACAGCTACATATAGTTTCCTTCACGATTACAATTAACTACCTTTTTAAACCTGCAAACATTTCTTTAAGGTTTTAAATAACCAAACAGCCAAAATACTCATGTCCACTAGAGCTGAAACGATTAGTCAAACAGTTGTCAATTATTAAATCATTTTGATAATTAACAATGGTTTTGAGTCATTTTTTGAGAAAATGTGAGTATGTTCTGCTTTCTTTAGTCCTCTATAAATGAACTGAATATATTTGGGTTGTGGACAGAACAAGGACATCACCTTGGGCTTTGGGAAACACTGATCAACATTTTTCACCATTTTAAGACATTTTATGGACCAAACAACTAATTGATAAATCAAGAAAATGATAAAAAATTATTTGACAATGAAAATAATAGTCAGCCTTGAAGTCCTTTAATCTTAAAATCTTTATGGCTTCTGAACATTTCTAACAGAATCAGATCTTGCTCAGTCAATTTTCCTGCTTTTTGATACTTTCTGATTCCATTAAATCATTTTGCTCAATCTACCCGAGTAAAGCTTCGCCATACCTTCCACTCCTGCGAGCGGACGGTGTCTTTGAGTTTGATTCCTGAGAACATCTCCAGAAGGATGATGCCCAGGCTCCACATGTCAACGGCAGCCGTGCAGCCCGAGTCCCCGTCCATCTCCACCCCGGCCTGAGCGAGGCTATTCTGAAGCTCAGCCTCGGGAGCGCGATACCCGTCGGTCTGGATGTACTTGACATCCTGGAGGAGGTGAGGCAGGGAGAGAGTTAGAAACACATTCCCAGCTCTTCTTCTACTGATCTTCAAATCCCCAGACACACCCACCTGGTTTCCCTCTTTGAAGCTGAGGCCGAAGTCGATGAGCTTGAAGCACTCGTCGTCAGCGCTCCAGAGGATATTGCGTGGCTTGAGGTCGGCGTGGACGTAGCCCTCCCTGTGAAGGAAGGCAAGAGCCTCCAGGATGTCTCTGGCACAGTGCTGGACAAGCCACATGGAGTGGCCCTGCTGGGGTCTGCCAAAAAATATCAATCAGTGAAGTTGCACAGAAAGCTCAAGCTCTCCTAAGTACAGTAACTCTCCAATAGTTTCAGTTATTTACATCTGTGACGGCACGTATGAAGAATACTGACACAAACTTTTTTCTTTGTCATGAATGTACATTAGGTTAACCTAATGTAGTCTAATACAACAGTCCTGCAATAATCCTCCCTTGTTAAAACTGTTTCACAGAGGTGGTGATTTCACTTTCAGAGGCTGCAGTTTGTGGCGCTGTTCTGAAGTGTATTGCATTATACTGACTTCTACTCTTTCATCTGAACGAGGGTTGCTGCACTGAAACAAACACCTCTCTGCAACTTGCCACAGAGAGTTATAGTGAATGAGAAGCAGTGACGTCACTTACCTACCACCCTGGGTGCCACTGGTGCCTCTCACCAACAGCTCGGACACACTGACATCCAGGAGCTCCAGCAGAAGACAGCGGGTGGCAACACCCACACAGCTGTGGTTGGTGAACACCCCATACAGTGTCACTGGGAGAAGAACAGATCTGTCATTACAAACAGCTTGTCACATTGCATTCACATTTAGGAAAAAGGAAAAGGGACCCTCCTGCTAGGCAATACCTTTAACTTCAATCACAGCATAATATGCCCCTCATAATGTACACGCATGTTCCACAAGAGAATAATCAAGACCGCCGCAGAACTGTCAGCAATCCTCTGTATTTGAATGAGTTTTTATAATAGGTTTTCTGAGTTTCATGATTATTTTGCAGAACACTGTAACACGTTTTAAAGCCTGGTGGACTGCACATATGGAACAATCTAATACTAGAATACAACACATTATATTCTATGTAATGAAGAACATGGGTGGGTGCGCCCTTTGGCCCTAGTAGGAGTAGATACAGAGTGAAGGACTATTTGTTGTACTTTTTTGAAAAAGAAAGACGACGTTTACTGAAGTGAGATCCTGTTTATCATCAGGGTTCCCACTCTTTTTAAGAAATCATTCCCAGGACATTTTAAAGGACTGTTCTTGACAATACAGGACAGCACTTGCTTGTCACTTGCTGGTCATAAAATGTACTGGTAGGTCTAGTATTTCCACATTTAACTCCTGATTTATTCCTCTGTTTTAATGATGAAGGGTTCAAGATGAAGTAGGTTCATCACAGGCAGGGGTCAGTTTTCTTCTAACCCAGGTTAACGCAGGCGATCTGACTGAGGGGCTACAATATGACAGGACAACATTCATTCATTTTAATCAATTTCCAGGTGTTTCCGGGGACTGGAAAACAAGTCTTGAAATATCCAGGTTTCAGGGCGGGAACCGTGATCATATGCAGAATTAAAAAGCAGACCATAACTAAAATGGTCTTACAGAATATTCTACAATGTGTCTGCCCCTGATGACATGCAGGTTCATATTAAAATGACGACATTAACAATGGAAAACAAACGCATAAGGGTTTGAAAGCATTAGCCACAGTAAGGCTGATGGTAAGTAACACTGTTCGCCTCCCACGCGTTTTAGAGTCCAATAATGTCCTTACCGATGTTTTTATGGCCCTGGATGTCTTCCAGCACGGACCTCTCCTTGTGATACCCGTAGTCTCCTCCCTGAGTGTCGGCCTGAAACTCCTTGACAGCGGCGGTGCTGGCTCTGCCTGAGCTGACCCGGTACACCGAGGCCGAGACTCCCTGGCCGAGCCGCGACTGGACGGTCCATAACTCGCCGAAGATCTCGAACAGTACCGGCTTCATGCTCTGGTCTACGCTACCCTGCGGCGACATGATGCTGTCCGGACGAGGCGCCTGTACCTTCGCGCTGGGTTCGGAGGAGCCGCAGTGAGCCATTGGGCTGACGGGAGGCAGGAGGAGAGGAGCCAGCTAGTTGACAGGTGGGAGCAGCTGCAGGAGCATTGCCACCGGGGCTCTATTATCAGCGCCGCACAAACACTAGCAACCACAGCGAGCAGACAACCCAGATACACCCGCAACCTTGGTAAAACGAAGCACGGAGCTGTGTCTGCGCATATTACACTACTGTTGGCTTACTGAGGCTGTCGAGATAAATCCACTCTGGTCAGCTGACAGAAAGTTAGCTAACTTAGCTGCTCCAGATGGCTACATTAGCCACCGAGTTTGGGCACAAACACAAACCACTTCCACGGCGGGCAGTGAAACGCTTCCTCCATTACATACCAGATGTTGTTACGTCATTTGTATCCGATATAATAACTTTATAAGGTGTAGCAGTTTTAACTACACTAAAGTTTTGCCTGAGTTGTAACTCAGGTTGTTGATATCAATCTTACTTCCGCTTTCCCACCAGGTTTGCGGTGCCTCTTTTCCTGCAGTCTGCCCCCTGCCGGCCAGGAGTGTCCCTACATTGTCTCTCTCCTCTAAATTTGTCTCCATCAAATAATAATAATAATAATATTAATAAATTTTATTTAAAAGCTCTTTTCTAAATCTCAAGACCAATGTACATACAAGAACATCAATCAGCAAAACAATATGGAAACAGTACTTTACATACGTTAAAAAACATTAGACTGAGCTAGATTTTAAAAGCTGTTTTTAAAAAGGTTGTTCTTTGTCAGTGATTTGAAGGTTTGGGGGTCGGTTCAGTCCCGGATGGGTTTGGGGAGAGAGTTCCAGAGGGAGGGGCAGCTACAGAGAAGACTCTGTCGCCCCAGGTTCGGTGCTTGGTCCCGGGTGGTGGAGTCAGAAGGTTTGCGTCAGATAAATAAAAGACAAAAACATTTTTACATTTTAGGCCACTGGATGAGAAATGAAGCATTGTCTTTATCCTGCTGTCTTCCTCTGATGTGTGACTCAGTTATCTACAGCTCCAGCTCAGTTTATTATGTGTCGTTTGAACAATGGAAGCCAGCTCCTGTCTGCATGTCTTTCTCTTTCTTTTCTAAAATAAATGAATACAAGACAGAACAGAGGAGTGGTTCTATAATGTATTTGTTAAATACATGTTTAAAAGCATTAAGACCCAAGCATGGTGAGACTTTTGAATATTGCACAGACTGCCAACATACAAAACATAGCTCAATATAAATACTGTTCAACATTCAATACACGTATAATACTTTCTATTACCATATCTAAGGTTTTTATACCAAGCATAATGTAAAACTACGGTATTCTGGAAATGATAGAGTGGAGCATCAAGAGATATATGTGCACATCAACCTGGTGTTAACCTGGTGAATTATAAAACCAGAAATGGTTCTAAATAAAGAGCCATTTGGGAGCCGAAAGAGCTGTTATTGATGAGCAGAGCCAAATGATCTGGATCACTAAAACGAGCCTGGATTCCCATCACTACTTCAGCTGTGTATGTTAATCTGGCTTACATTTATGTGGTTATATGTATTTATCTTTTGCATTGCTTTCGCTGTGCTTCATTAAAAATACAACTGAAGAAAAATGAAGTCATAAAAAGGCCCATATTTCTGTGCTTCTCCAGTCAGTTTTCTGTCTCTTCCTGAGGCTCATTTACGTCCCTCCACTCCTCTGCAGCCACAGGGACGCAGCAGAACTTCCTCTGAAGTGTCATCAGACATCCAACCACTCCTACGTTGTCGCTCAATAAGATAAACTAGTATTCCTGAGGGAGTCTACCAGCAAGAGTGAGCGATATGGAAAAAAATCACACTGGCATTATTATCACAGCATGTCTCCATATTGAGGTTGCAATAGTTATTAAGAATCACAAGGTGAAAAGTGAGTTTTGTTACTTAACCTTTAAGCAGCATTGAAATGTGACATTACTGTACAGAGAATTATTCAGCTGTTGTATTTGTGAACTGTCAAAAGTCACTGCCATGTAATTGTATATTCTACTCTACATTCATATTAGGTTAGGTATTTCCAATGAATTCATAAAACCCGTTTTTATCTGTAAACATTGATGAGAACAGATTCAGTGACACAGCCATACTAACGTTACACCCTCTCACCGGAAACAGAGGAATCATCATCCCGGAAAGGGAAATGTCACCAAAATGAGGTGGTGTTTTTGAACATTCGGCAGAAAACAACAGTGTTGCACACTCGTCTCTGCCTGGGAGGACTACAAGAAGAGCTCCTTGTTTGAAGTCGCAGGTTTTAAAGTGTTGAAACAGTAAGTTGGTGGCTTTACGCCGGGGGGAGGGGGGCTGCTGTCAGGCTAATGTCATGTCATTTTAACGTTACGACTGAGCTGCAGCGACCATGCAGGCAGTCAGACGGCAGGTCTTACAGCAGCTGTTCCGCCGTTTGTGTTCGGACACCGGCAACCGGGTGAGCACGCCGATAAAATGGCTAACAGTGAACGCTAAAAGAAAGACAGTGGCGCTGAGTCGAGAGGTTTTCAGCCGAAGCTAACGCTAGCTAGCTGTTATTTTGACTTGATTTGAACGTGCAGCTGTTGTTTGTAGCTCCGGAATGGATGACTGGTGACCACACGGTGACCACACGGCTACCAGCTCTGTCTGAATACACCGTCTAACGCCAGCAGGCTAACATAATGCTGCTATAATGGGAACGTTGTTCGCGAGGTGTTCCCGTTTTCAGGTGCTGCTGAGCTCGAGGTCAGCTGCTGAGGCGTGGCTGTGGCACGTGACTGTCCGTGAAATCAGCTGACAGATTTTAGAAAGATCTGGAAAATGTCAGGAAGCAGCGGTGGTTGACTTCCTGTCAGACCAACATCAGAACATAGCACAGACAGGGTACCAATGGAATCCGATACAATCAGTAACCTAATCCAAGTATCACATTACTAAAGTAACGTAACTTGATTACTCTCCGTTACTTTGGATTAACAGGAAACATGCAAATAAAGACAAGAGAAAATAAATGTCAGTAAGGAGTATTGATGCCAGTGTATTCTCTAAGACAACAGAACAATGGGACCAGCAGTGGAATGTGTCCTGTGCTCAGTGAATCTTTACAGAAAAACTGATGTATTTTAATATTGTTATCCTGCTAAATAATCCCAGTTTTTACTAAATGGAACTCAAATCCTTCTGTAACTGTAATAGATTCATTAATATATTTTTTGTATCCCGTGTAACTTAGTTACATATAATCCTTTACTCCCCAAGACTGTAAATCTGTTGAAACAGTGAATTGAAACAAGAATATGAATTACTGATTGGTTTTAACTATAACATGGAAAATGAGTCTGATCACAAAATAGAAGTTGTGCAGCTGTACAGTGTTTGGTTCTGACTCGCGGTCCTACTGGCTGACTGATTCTAAGGGATCTGCTAGGTTTACTTTCTTTAACCAGGTCAGAAATGTATTGTGTGATTTGTGGTAAGTTGTTCTGCTGTGTGTCAGGGCAGCAGATTTCTGAATGTGCTGAAGTTGTCTAAAGAGTCTGTGGATTAAAGCATGAGTGAGTTTCTCTGAATACTGTCTGGACAGGAAACCTCAAATTCTTTCTTTTTCAATGCTAAAAATCAGTTATTGCATTGAGTCTGTGGACTGTGGTCTTGACAGTTGTAGAGTATGGTGAGTGTTTTCAGCTTGTTACCATATGCAATGATTTCTTAATACAGTTATTCCATCACCTATTTAGAGTGAGTTGTGAGTTGCTGAGTCTGGTGACCTTTGAGGGAAATGCGAGTCAGCACTTCTTTCACTTCCTTGGAAAAGTCAGCGGGCATACACTGTTCTGCAAAAACAGGAATATTTTATCACACAAGCCAGAATGGAGTGGGTCAATGCAAAAGGTTCTGTGCACCTTAAGAACATTTAACATTTCCACATTATGTAGATAGTGGGTGTTGTTGCATTCATGCAGCAGTCTCCTGTTGTAGCTCTGAAGGTTAAACATTGATTCAGCAGTTTGGTCTGTCTGGTCTCGCTGCCTCTTTGAAACTTTAAAATTAGCTGCAGTTTGATGCTAAAGTAGTGGTTGTTAAACATCTATAGAGATATGAATTATTGCATAATATTTCTCCACAGTGCTGCGACTCCTTCCTCCTTTTCACTGCTTCATACCCTTCCCATGTACCCCCACTCACAGCGTCAGCATGCAGTACAGTGTTTTCTGTAGTGGGACTGTAAACCGGGGCTGTCTGTGTTTGTTACCTACTGTGCTTCAGGTTCTCTGTAACAAAATGAGATTAGACAAAGATTCTCAAACAAAAATCTACAAACTGTATTTTTTTCTTATATTTTCTCAAAAAGAATCCTTTTTTTATTTCTGAGCTCGGGTATAAGCTGTGCAAAACAATGCACATTTCCTTATCTTGTGAAGTGACAGTGATGTCTTTGATACGGATACTGACACGAGCAACATAGGACGTCAAACAAGCAAAGTCAAAAATAGAAGAAGAAAAAAAGGCTTTCTCTGCTGTTTAAATCACAATTAGGCGTGGGACAACATACAATATTATCGCGTATCTGTATCGCAATGTAGGTGTTGAAATATTGTTACATTCCTACTGCTGCTTTAAGAATTGATCACAAAGATTGATTGTTTTAGTTTCTGCAGAGAGCAAGTTTAGCATCCTGACATTGCATAATGTTTGAAGTTGACAGTAGAATCATCATACGCATTGCTACTTCAGTGAAGCATTCTGGGTGTGATTAATCAGGGCACTTCCTCCTTGTATTTATTCAGTACAAACTGCTTATGTAGAACTTTCTCATCCTGTATTTACTTTACAGTCGGTTACTCCTTCAGCCACAGTGATAGTATGGAAGTCTTTGCCTCTGTGTGCTTTTTGCAGGTCTGTTACCATTTGTGGTACAGTAGTGAATACATATATCCAGTGTTGCAGTTTAAATGGCTTCATAAAGATAATATAATAAGAGCTGTATTTTGGCATACAATTCTTGCTACTGCAGCTTTAAGTGAGCCTTCCAGTAAGCCAAGCAGCTCCCTTCACTGACTGAATTATGCTCTTCTTGTCCTTTTAAGGTGCTTCTGAGAGGCATGAATGACTTTGCAGTTCTCAACACAGGGCGGAAGATGCCCCTCCTTGGACTGGGAACATGGAAGAGTGAGCCAGGAAAGGTAGGCGATGCACCAATCTCCTGTCTGAAAAACAGATAGGATTCTCTCTTATAGATGATGTCAGAAAACAGGCAATATTGCATTTTGCTTTCTGTTTCTGCCCATTCACTTCCACTTCCCACTGTCCTCTGTCCAGATGCAGATATATGTCTGCAATTTCAGACGTTAAAGCTGCACTAATCAATATTTTAATATTAGCAATGAATCGAATGAAATGTGTGAAAAGTACTGATGAGCCCGAAGAGAATTATCACTAGACTCCTATCAGCTCTACAGAGCATTTCAGCCCTTTTAAACTTACGGGTTGGTTCAGTCTTAGCCACTAACAGGTGAACATAGTGGAACTTTTAATAGCTAAAAAGACCAAAACAGCAGAAAAGAGAGTGCATATTAGACAGAGTCAGGACTATAAAGTAATAAAACTGTATATAGTGTGTATCCAGTTCAACACCTTTCCAGTTGATGTCAGCGTGATAGCATAAATGGTCTATATGTGCAGTCTTTAAGTTCAGTTTCAACAGCTGTCTTATTCTGCCACTGTCACAGGTGAAACAAGCAGTTGTTTGGGCCTTGGAGGCTGGGTATCGCCACATCGACTGTGCAACCATCTATGGCAACGAGGTCGAGATTGGTGAAGCCCTGCAGGACACGCTCGGGCCCGGCAAGGTAAAACATCAAAGTATTAGAAACTCTAGACTGTTCCGTAATGCAGGATAACAATATCATGTTCAGTAAGATTTCACTATCGAGCCTGGACTTTGTTGTCTCTATTGTCCTGAAATTTGAAGACACTTAATTGTCTGTTCACCAGGCCCTGAGACGAGAGGACGTGTTCATAACATCCAAGCTGTGGAACACCCGACATCACCCAGAGGACGTGGAGCCGGCCCTCCTGAAGACCCTGAAGGACCTGAAGCTGGAGTACCTGGACCTCTACCTCATCCACTGGCCCTACGCCTTCCAGTGAGCTCAACTATTAAGTCTGATAATTAGATGATTAACTCATTATCCTGAGAAAAACCAGATAACGAGCTAATTAATGTGCAGTCAGAGGAAAACACATTTGTTATCCTGAGGTAACGATGTAGTAACATGTTTTGACACCGTGGGATAGCAAGGAATAAATTGTTAAACATAAAAGACTTTAAGTTATGAAACTGCATTTATCTCCCAACTTGTTCTATGTAGACCTTAAACTGAGGCCATATTTTAAGGAGGCAAATGGATAGAAAAACTACAGTTTGTGCTTTTTTGCCACTAGTTGCTGTTAATCGTTCTTTAAAACGTGGCTCCCTCTTTATATATCCTAGACAAGGGGACGATCCTTTCCCCAAAAAGGAGGATGGCACCCTGCTGTATGACGACATAGACTACAAGCTGACCTGGGCTGCCATGGAGAAGTTGGTGGAGAAGGGCCTCGTCAGATCCATCGGCCTGTCCAACTTCAGCAGTCGGCAGATTGACGACGTCCTGTCAGTGGCCAGCATCAAACCCACTGTTCTACAGGTACAGGCTCTTTGTGATGAGGAAGAGGTCCACTTTAATTGCTGTGAACACACTGAAGCATGCCTCAAGCTACGGATCACCCTGGTATCTCTGTGTTTTGGTTGGGCAGGTAGAGGGCCACCCCTACCTGGCCCAGGTAGAGCTGCTGGCCCACTGTCGGGACCGGGGCCTGGTGATGACGGCCTACAGCCCTCTGGGCTCTCCTGACCGGGCCTGGAAACATCCAGATGAACCTGTTCTGCTTCAGGAGCCTGTGATCGCCGCCCTCGCAGAGAAATATAAAAAGTCTCCAGCTCAGATTATCCTGAGGTGAATTCATGCTGGCTTACATAAGATTTCATAAAAAAAAGCTTCAAGTTTTCAAATTCAAAACGATAAACGCTTAAACTTAATTTAATCCGTTTAGGTTTTCACATGTAGGTAACAAAATACGGATCCCATCTGCTTTTCTAACACTTGATCTACACCTGGTATTAAAATGCAATCTGTACACAGAATTTGGATAATAAATAATCCGATCATGCCTTTGCATTTACATTAAATGCATTCTTATTTCTCTGTCCTCCAGAGCAAAACCTGTGCAAGTAATTTGAGCAGTGGCCAATCAGCCCCAGACTCCCTTAAAAAAACTTTAGATTTTTGTGAGTTGTTGAGTCAGGAGAAACTTCATAAACTTTGTGAAACGCTGCCTGTGACAGTTTCTTAATCACTTGTCCCCTCTTGTAAATTCTGCAAATGTTAATAAGCTACTCCTTATCTTGATGAATCTTGATTAAGTTTGTCCCAGCGTGTTGCAGAACCAGCATATCTGTGACTACACAAACAATATGCCTTATTAGCAGCACATCAGCTGCACAGATGATTGCAACAAACACCGGCACTCACACCGTGATTTCTTACTGTGCCTCATTCATTTCCCATAAGACATAAAAGACATACAATTTAAAAATTAGAGGCATGTCTTTTTCAGTCTTCTCACGTGCTCGCTATCTAAATTTAAATAACCTATATTTCATGTTCACTAGAAAGAAATATGTGTATCAGGATGGATGCCAGCATGTTATACGGATTGTTTATACCTATCTTGATCCACACACAGCTGAGCCAGACTGCAAGCGGATGAGGTCAGGCAGGACTGATCACATTCTGATCATGACGCGTTTACACCTTGAATTATTAACATGTATTTCCTTATCTGGATAACTTGTCATAATACAGGTTGCAAAACAGCACAGGAGCACGTAATGTACACATTTGTATTTTCACATTTCCACATCAACATTTAAAAGGTTTGCTAGTATATTTAGTCTTTCTAAATGAATTCCATGTTGCATTAAAGTTCTAAAGTCATTATTGGAGGCAACCACAAAATAGGAGAAAAATGACAATTAAATACTTTTCAAATGACATGCAGTGGTCCGTTTATAAACAGCAAATTAAAGTGTGCTGTGGATCATAAGGTGAGGCAAATTTGCAATAACTTTTTTGGCCAGTTGAGGGCAGTGCGACAAGCTGTACACAATAGTGGCAGCAAATACAGCATAAAGCTGATATTGCAAACATGTCAGTGTGGCATAAGTACCAAAAATCATATGTACTTTACTGTACTTTTTCCAAATGATGGTTTAGTGGTCACATTATTGCTGCACCAGTCAAGCTCTATTAAACTCTAGCTAAACGAGAGCCAGTGGCATGCTTTGAAAAGCTGTTTACAGCATGGTCAGGTGTACGAGGTTTGTAGCAGTGGGGCTAAAATAAGCACCTGGTATGGTAAAAGAGCTCTCCAGGGAGCGTACATTTCAAGTTTGTTGTATTTGCAGGTGGCAGACCCAACGAGGAGTGGTAACAATCCCCAAGAGTGTGACAGAGTCCCGCATCAAAGAGAACATTCAGGTGCGGTAACATTTCCAAACTATGAGGCTATTTTTTTTTACCTTTTTAGAATATCTCATTAAGGTTCAGTTTTTTGCCTAAAAGTACTTAAAAGCTATTTTTTTGTACAAGCTGTGCTTATTTTTTGGCACAACTCTAACTTTCATTTGCAGAGAACGTTGTGTGGGTTGCGAGCTGTTGATTTAATTGTGTTTGTTGGCAGGTGTTTGACTTTACCCTTGAAGCAGAGGAAATGAAAAGCATTACAGCGCTGAACAAAGGCTGGCGCTACATTGTACCAATGATAGAGGTGAGTAGGCTTTTTGTGTTGTATCTCTTAAGGGTTGTTATTAAAAGTCCTATATTTGAATTTTCCAGTCTACTGGGAAACTTAATGTCCTATGTAGCTCAGTTTCTAAGAGCCTGTGATCATAATACAGCAAGTGTCCTCATTGTCCTGATAAGTATGATTTTAATAGACGTGAAGCTTTTCTTTGTCCTGCAAAAGTCAAATTTAAAGGCCCAGGGTATTGGCACAAAATGTCAGACATTGGAAGTTTTAACTTAAAATGATCAGTGTCAGTCCTGAAAGATTTTCTCAGGCAGTTTGGTGAATAGCAAAAGCAGTTTCTGTGTGTACTGAAAAGGCACCAGACTGGGTTTTGAAGCCTGCCAAGTTTAATGGGTTATTTTGGTATTCTTCGACCTACACCTTATATTGCTATGTTTTTGTGTCTAAGCCACTGTGACTGAATTTGGTCCAGTATTGAATAAAAGCGCTGCAGCCTGGAGCCATGAAACAGACTACAACGCAATCCTTATGACCAATTGCGTACCGTCAGTGCATCCATTAAAAGTGCTCGTTCTTGCCACTGACCAGCTCAGATTATTACAAGTGTCTGGCAGCACAACCCACAGAGGAATGAAAAATGTTTTGTTCCCTTCATTTGATCCGCTGTGGGTCTTACTGAGTCTGCTGGTTGGGAAGAGTCTGTTGTGTTGTACAGAGAAAGCATACTTTAGTGTTATGGAAAAGATTTAGTTATGTCATGGCTGAATATTTAGCGAATTTCAGCAATGTGTAATTACTTGAGCTTGAGTATGAGGATGAAGAGCTCCCACAAAGTGAAGAGCAGACGAAGAGAGAGCGAGAACAGGCAGTGGAGGGTGCAGCCAGGCCAGCTGTAACACTGCAAGGTTCAGTAGACTGGTAGTGGTCCTGACATTATTATTTGACACAAAAACATGGGCAAATAAGGTCCAGGTTAAAAAATGCCTTAATTTTCCCTTTAACAAATGAACATGGCCATGTTACTGAAGAGCAGAGGGAACTGTATCAACTCTGTTTTGGATGTTGCAGGTGGAAGGAAAGCGCGTTCCCAGGGATGCAGGACATCCTCACTACCCTTTCAACGACCCCTACTGACGCCTCACACTACGACCTGAATCTGTGCCTTCAACAACCCCACGTCACTAATAAATGTTCCTGGATCCTGACATCAGTTTGTCTTTAGATCTTGTCAAATCCTGCACTTATCATTAGAACATTTCAACTTACTGTTGGTGATGAAGACTGGACATATCTGGTATGACTATACATACTGTACGTCTTATTTTTTAAATAAACATTTTGTTACTTCAGTTGCAGGTGTCTTTATTCAGGAATGAACTCCAGTGGAACAATGTAGTGATGCAGAAGTTGATTTTAAAGACATTAGATATTTGTTTGGTGTCAGTCAAAAGAAAAGTTTTAGAAACTACACACAAATGTACTTATTAAGTGGTGCATTAAAACCAACAGTCATGACGTACAGTTTCATTCAGTCATTATTTCTTCAAGTGACAGTGTTGGTGCTTTACACTGTTTCAGCAAGGATGAGGGCGTCTCAGTCAAATCACACAATGAAGGTACAAAACCATCCAGTTCACACACCACCTCATTTTTTTAAAACCTAAAACTATAATACGTAACATTTCCACATTAAAATGTCTATAAACACCAGATATGTTCTATATGTAGAGTTGTGTACTTCCATTATCCCAAATGTTTCCAACTAATGTTCCAAACCCAGAGAAATCGTCAATTCCTCTTTGCACGTGTTGTTGGTTGTTTCGATTCTTTGGTATGATGAACCAGGATAAAGGAGTGTTAGTCATCAGACGTTTGGACCTTAAGTTATCAGAGAAACTAGCTGAGCTAACACCCTTTGTTACCTGTTTTTGTCAGCGAGTCCTTTTTTTTGGGAGAGGAGGAGACCTTTGTTGATAATCTGGCTCCGTCACAATGAACACTGAAGGAATTCTAACCAGGAGAAGCTGACTGCAATAACAGCAGTGTTGATAAAGACAACAACTCCCATGATCCCACGCTACTTCCTACAACTTCATCAAACATAGTCTTTTGTTAATGATGTGAGAGACCCCGTAGCGTCAGTTATTACATATTGTTCGTTTAAACTGAAGGTATGTCATGTTTACACTTCTACAAAAGCATTCAAATCAACATGGCGTACATACAATTGATAAACAACAACCACAATATAAAAATAACAATATATTTTAATAAGAAGCACGTGGCTGGTTCAGCAATGAAGGACAATCGTTGGTCTGTGTCGGTAGTCTTATCTCCTGCAGCACCTCCTCTAAGGCTTCCTCCATTGTCAGTTTGGGAGGTCTGTGCTTGCGAATGTACTGTGGAAAGAATGAAGACATGTTGAACACAAACTTAATGTGTGTGTGTGAATTATCTACATGTTTGAGAACAGTGTCATCTTGATAATGCAGTACAGAATGTAATACCAATTTAAAGGATGACTGGTTTCTGTTCATTTCACGTGTCTCATGACAGACTGATTCTCCACTAAGACAGACCTACTACATCACAGAAAGTCTTAAATTTGACATTCAACCACGAGGCTTTGAACAGTTATTTCCCTCCTGTTGAGTCAAAGGAAAAGCTCAGTAGTAGAGTAGTAGACATCTCTACACTGGTTTGTGATTGTTTGTGTGTGATGGTGTGTGTAAGCATGCTTTACCTCCTTGGTGTCCTCCAGTGTGGTGTATCTGTAGTTTGGTGGTTCCAGGCTCTTTACCAGGCTGGAATGAAGATGGCGGCTGCTTTCAATGAACCGCCTTGTCATGGCGAGTTGCTGCTTCAGCAGTTCATTGAGTGCAAAGACAGCCGGGTTGAAGGTGCTGAGAGCTGAGGACAATGGACGGACACACACACACACACACACACACACGAATCAGTACACTTGTGTCCTCTCATTGTGCCCATAGTCTGTGTGTGTTTTTGCATGTATCAGAGAGAGCCTAACTGGTGTTGGTCTCGGGTCAGGCTGGAGCTGGACTGTCTGGCTCTGTCTAAAGGTAACAAACTCCACCTGTAAAACCCCTTTAACACAATCAGCATTCACACTCTCCCCCCTTTCTGGCTCAATGCTATGACGCGTTGTTCTACATTATTTATTGTTTTTTTGCAGTCTATGGGAACAACGTGCAACGGCGATGCTGTTCTTAGTATCGTGCGAGATGCAACACTGGCAGGACAGCGAGGTGAGGGAGTCTGATTGGACTGGAAGAAGAAACCAGGAGACAGGTCACTGGAACGTTCTCCGGTTTGTCTGACTATGCTAAACCACTGGCACTGTGCGATATTCAACAACATACTGAAAATGCTGAGTGCTCACAGGCCAAGGCAAGTGACAAATACTGCTTTCTGCTGTTTACTAGCCCTGTTTCTGGGTGCGTCTGTGACGTTGAATGTGACAGTAAAAAAAATGCAGAAAGGATACCTCATCTACAGACAATGGGAAAGGAGTCAAAGCTGCGTTTCAAAAACCTGTTTACTGTTTAATGCATACTATTTCTTTGACAGGCACAGAGATTTCTAGTCTTGCCAAAAGTCTAGATGCTAAATGAAGCTAGCCACCTCCTAGCTCTCCTGTTATATTTAGCATAAAAAGGGTTATGTTAGTTGATCTCCTCATCTGTCAGTAAAACAGTGTATTTCCCAAAATGTTGAAATATTCTTTTAATCACTGAAACAGTCATCAATCATGGCGTGATTTTGGAAATAAAGTTCCGGTTAGCTATGACCAACAGCTAGTATCAGTGACTGTATGTCAGTCCAAAGGATTTCTAACACAGGGTTCCCACTCTTTCTATCAATCATATTCCAGGACCCTTCCAGGACATTTTCCAGGAAAGGAAAAAGAAATCTACAGGACAGCATTGCTCACAAACAGTCAAACAATTTAGCAGTAGGCCTCATAGATGGTCAGCACTGATGGGACACTGTGTGTTAGCTTGCTTTGTTTTTACTACAGTTTACAATGAGGTTTCAGTAGGCAGTCTGAGTGAGGGGCTGAAATACAATCAAACATTTCCAGGACATCAATTATTTCCAGGATATTGGGTCATTTCAATCCATTTCCATGTGTTTCTATGACTGGACAATTAGTCTTTAAATTTCCAGGTTTTCCAGGATACTTGTGAACCATGATTTTAGTCACCACCTGAATGCAGGCCCAGGTTTTTTTCTACGTATATTTATGTTGTATGGTTGGTTGTGTTGTGTTCTGTTTAATTGGGTCTTACCTTGCACCATTTCTGCACTGAGAGTATGAGTGAGCACTGGGGAGGGATCCATGTAGGTCATGCCCACTGCCGGACCCACAGTAGCCACACCTGAGGGAGGGGAGCCAGAGATAAGAAACACAAATACTGAGCTGAACTTGATGACTACTGTGGAGAAACAGCGATAGTGATGAGTAGTGACACTACCATATGTTAAATGTGTGGCAGACTAACCCGGCCATGTGTGAACCAGTGGATTCGACTGAGTCTGTACTGCTGCCTCTTTTAAAACCTTTCTAGTTGAAGCACGCCTCCTCGACTGGTGAGATAAGGTCCGGCTGCCATGTGAGACCGAGGATCTGGAAGACCTGGAGTCCCTGTTTCTGCTGAGTGTTTGGCTGTGATCTGAAGTCTGTGAGGTGTAGGAGTGTCCTGTGTCTGAGAAAGCGCTCGAGTAATCATCTTCTGTCCTCCCACGGGACACGTCTAAATCAGAAGCCTGCTCTCTGACCTCCGACACCACCTCCTCTCCATCTCCATTTCCTTGCAAGTGCTCTGAAACCTGGCTGGTGCTGTAATTTGGCTCTGTCCTGCTCTCGCTCTCAAAGTCACTTTGGTAGTCCAGCAGGTCCTCCTCCTTCATCTGCTGTTCCTCCTCCTCCTCCTTCAATCTTGGCAGCTGATGTCTGTTTGGGGGGCCAGGAACAGGGGCGCTGACTCCTCTCTGTTTATGTAGCAGGAAGAAGGTAAACACATCAGACTAAGGAGTCCTTCAGGGGATTCAACAAGACACCCAGCAACAAGAGAAAAAGCTCAATTTTAAAAAGATAATACATTTGCCTCATTTTTTCAGCTCCAAGCCAAATATCACTTTCCTCGACCACATTGTTACCGCTACCTTCAATGCAGGCATTTCGTACTGGAGTGTATCCCAGAATATACAACTAAACCAAAGAGTTGCATTTTTTATCATTAACTTCTCTTACAGCAAAACTCTCAAAATTTGATCTCCCACTTCGTCACACCTTTATGGTACGAGTACATGCCAGTCATCTCAGGGAAGTTTGGGTGTTCCTGTGTCAGATGAATTATGGGAGGAGAGCTTGTCTGCTATATGGAGCTGTTCTGTCAAAACTAGATATCAATTCATTCAGTTTAAAGCCCTACACCGACTGCATTACTCCAAAGCTAAACTTAGTCAGATATTTGGATCAGTTTCTCCCCTGTGCGACAGATGTGGCACCGCCAAATGATTACGCTTATTCTGGCACTGTCTAATACTAGATCATTTCTGGTGTGCCTGTAATTTGGTAATATTTGGTTGCTCTGACAAGACAAGCGCCCCTCTCTCCCATCAGCTGGTGTCCATCGTCCCCATGTTGTAGGAGGTGGCTCAATGAAATGCTTTCTGTTGTTTAGATGAAATTCAGATTAGTTTTAGCAAAGGGGAATTCCCAAAATGATTTTCATACGTTTGTGTAGGTTTAACCATCATTCTCATCAATTATTTATACATTTTACTCATCAATTTACAATGTGTGTGCAATGTGAGACCACAGAGCACTGACATAACCGAACATGTAGGTCTTTAACAAGTTCTGTTAAACCACTTTGGTTGGCGTTTGTTTCTCAAGCAGCTGAAGATTGTAACAGACTTTTTAGGTATGTTCATTTTTAGATCATTACTTAAAGCTGCACTAATGCTACATGTCGCTCATGTTCCCTCCTCTTAATAAGGAGGTAGAAACATAAGATGATATGAGGACATGATTATATCTGAGAGCTAAAGCTGCAATAGCGTCTCCTAATGTGTGTTCCTAATATGTATGTATGTGTGTATGTATGTTTGTCAGTTCATATGCAAAAAAAGGAAAAAAAGCAGGAAAAAAAAGCTGCACTAATCAGTATTTTTATTTAAACGTCGTTATGGACTGTTTGCAGTTCCCTTCAGCAGCTCTGATGAGCTTTTTGGCATCTTTCAGATCATTGTTTTGGTTTTATGCCCCTCAACTTTACTGTTATAGCTCAGGCTCTCATCAGGCTGTTTCCAGCAGCAGCAGGAAGCGGTTTTCAGCAGAAAAGCTCTAATATCCCACTGTGCACCACTTTCTGCACTAGCAGGTGAACATAGTGGAGCATTTAGGAGCTAGAGACAGATATTTTTCTTAGGAGTTGACAGGGACCAAAACAGCTAGAAGTGAGTGAATACCAGACTTACATTTGTCAGGCTGACACAAACACAACTCCAAGTTAATGCCAATGCTGCTCTGTGTCTAACAGATTTGCTGTATTGACTTAGAAGGTGGTAATATTTCAGTGCTGTGTGTATAGCAAAAATAACAGGCAAAGCAGCTTTGAACAACTCTCTCAAATTGTTTCATAATGGACAAAAATAATAACCTTCCTTTAAGTTTGAATTACTTAAGCATAGCAATATATTACACATGCAAATAGCATTATTCATCGTACTTAATGCTGTCATTACCAACCTCCTTTACTGGTGTTTCTTCTGTAAATCCAAGGTCGTCTAATGTCATCACGTTTATCTTGAAGTCTGCAATAACACAAGATAACAGAGCAGCAATTTTAGGTCACATCAATCTCCAATTCTCCAATTCTCGCCTCCCTCCACTGGTTGCCAGTTAGGTTCAAGATTGATTTTAAGTTTCTTTAATAACTTTTAAGACCCAACATGGTCTCGCCTCTAGTTAAAATAAGAGCTCTTGACTCCCCACACTCATGGTTGTACCTGTTAACTGTCCCTAGGTCAAGGCTGGAGACTAAGGGTGACCAGGCTTTTGCCCTCAGGGGCCCTAGGCTTTTGAATTTGCTGCCCGAGGATCACTTGCTGTAAAATCTTTGCTTAAAACATATCTTTACAGGAAAGCCTTGGTGATGCCTGGCTTTCAAATATTGGTGTTGTTGCTGTGTTGTTTTATTTTCTTTTATTCTCATATTTTAACTGTATTTTGGTATGGTTACGTATATCTTTGTTTTATTCTTATGTATTTTTCAACCTTGTTTAGATACACAAGTGCTATAAAAATAAGTTATTATGTTATTCATTCAAACTCTACAGAGGGAAGATTCATGTACCTTGTTGTCCATCTAGGATGCATGACGTAAGGAGAAATGAATAAAACATGGTCAAGGAACAAAAACACCACATTTCATCTCCTGTATGCAAAAAGAGAGGCTAAGCATTTTGTAGACATTGTTAGAACTGGAATACACTGCTGAATTTAAGTCCTATTGGCTTCTTAGCAGCTACAACACTAACTGCCATCTTTCCTGATGTTTTTTATGCCCTGAGAACTTCTCTCACCTTCAGAGGACACTGTGCTCCTCTCACTGTGGGGGTCTTCAGAGCCAGGCCCAACAGGGAAGAGCTCCTCCAGAGAGAGCACCTCACTGCGGCCTGACATGGAGGAGAGGGGCCGCTGTGGACTCTGCGCCCTGTGAGGGGAGTGCAGTCTCCCCAGAGGAGAAGGGGAGACACGGGGAGGAGAGGGGGACGGGGAGAGCAAAGAGGGGCTGAAGCGAGCCTGAGCCTGACCAGTGAATCGAAAAGGAGAGCTGCGGCGAGAGGGAGAGGCAGGGGAGCGGGGTGGAGCTGTATTGGAGGATGATGAGGGAGGGACAGCGGCGGGAGGAGGTGTGGAGTGGACCTTCCGATGGCTTTTGCTCAACATCTGTAAGAGAGAGAAGTATAGTATTGTTTTGAACTGAAAGAACTGTCAGCTGCAGAGATTCTGCAGGGTTCAGATATTAAGACCCTTTAAAACCACACTGAATGCAATGTAATACCTGTTTTATGATTATACCGGCCAAAGTTTGGAAGAGCGTTAGAAAAACAGGGACGATATGGCCTAGAATGATTCATTATCAGTACTTACCAGCAGTATAGAAAAATAATTTAAAACAATCAACATGGCCTTGACCCAGTAAAGCAGCAGAAAATGGATGGATGGATTAACCAATGAAAAATGTATAATTAATTTAAGTTGATTAGATAGTTTAGCCTCCTGCAGCACAATCCACTGTCTCAACAATCTTCTTTTCACTGTGTAACAGCCCACAACAATCACATTACTGCCTACAGCAGGCAAGAGAAAACATTTATGTCTTTAGTAGATTCAATTTAATACTTTTTAACACATTCTAAGGCCTTGAGAAAACTTTTCAATACCTGCAGATGCATACATGTTTTTGCATTGTTAACAACCACCGTGTTAAAACACTGAGTTTTTGAGTCTCATTTGATGTGATACATGCAACCTCCAAGTTCATATTTCTGTCTCTACTTCCTTGAGGTTGAACTGGTAGATTAATCCTCCCGGTTGATTCATGGAATACATTTATATTTATATATATTAGCATATATTGTGTATATATTTTATTGCTTTAAGGTACATAGGCTCTTATTATATTTCTATTTCCATTTTTACTTATATGTATATACCTATACATACATTTCTATTTTATATATATCGTGTTAGATATTGTAATATAAGTATTATTACTATTCTTTAACATTGTGTGAGTAGAACTGTAACAATAAAGTATTTCTGATTCTGATTACTCCCTTTCATCCTAAGTCAGTTAACCAGACACAGTTTTAATTGCTTGAAAGTGCACAACTGGATCAAATCCTCCTTGCCGAGATTTTGAACACCCTCTCCCATAAAAGATTACAGGAAAGATGAGCTATATTTGACATTCAGACCTGAAAAACCCCTCTCATAAACCTATTTATACGACACACTACATGATATGGTTTCTGATGACTGGTTACCCTAACACTCACATACATATAGTGGACTGGACACAATACATTACTAAATTAATATGATTAATTAACATACTTTTTTATGCATATTTAAGTTTATTAGTATCATTTTTTTTCTTTCTTTCATTTTCTTTCTTTTTTCCAAGCCTTGTATTGTTATTTTTCCCATTATTTAATCTTGTTTAATTATTTTTCTGTATTTAAAAAAAAAATAAATAAATCCCCCTTTCATTTTAATATGTCTTTGTGAAGCTTAACTGACACTGCCAGTCCAAAGTCGTAGTGACTGACATGCGTTAGCACATGTTCTGTATCATTTCTGGTGTACATTGTTTCAAAAATGGTATGAAACGTAGTACATAGTACATTCTGTATACAATTAGTATGTAGTATGGAACAGAGATGACGGTACTGACTCCATGACTGTGCTTTGCCTCGCCTGAGGCATGATGGGAACTGTAGTGCTAAAGCTGGTTTTATATTTGGCTATACAAAATAGGCAAAAAGTCTGAATATGTGTGTACTGTTTGTTTCTATTTGTGAGCCACATTAAAGACACATTTCCATTCCTTTGTTACAGTCAAGTTTTGTCTGAATCAGAAACTGTTTGAAAGTTTGAAAAACTTTCCTGGAACATGTATAGAACCATTGAACTGATTAGGTATTAGCCTAACCTATCCTAAAATAGCAATACATAACATGCATAGCTAAGACATGTACTGACAATGGCATAAGACTGTAAATAAAGGGAGTGGAAACAAACAACAGCCCAGGTTCAAAGATAAAAGGTACCTTGTCCGCTGGTCTCCCAGGTATTAAGAAGCTGTTGTCTATTGAATCCAACGACTCTCCAAGCAGTTTCCTCATGTCCTCTTCATCACTTTCCAGACTCACACCACTCACTACTCTCACTGACTTTGTCTCCAAACCTGCCGAAGGGACTACAGCATCAGCAGCTCTGGACCTGGACCTGACACCAACATCTGGGCCTTGTTGGGACGCAGCAGCAGCAGCAGCAGCAGCAGCATTACTATTATTCACAGCTGCAGTTGTGTTATTCTTGAGGAAAAGTTTCCCCTTCAGGCTCTGGTCACTGCTGGACTGAGCTGCTGAGAGCTGCACAGAGGTCTCCACGGACTGGGCTGCCGGCGGTGGTGGGATCCCCATGTCTGAGGTTTGATTCTCAGCCGGTTTTAGCCCTTGTCCAGCCTGCTTGCGGCTGCGGATGCGGCTCTCAATTTGAGCGAGTCTACTCAAAGCAGCATTCTGGGAGCCTCGCTGGGAAGATGACACATACCTGACCAGAGGGGGTGAGAGGGAGCAGAGGTGAACATTATATTTTGAGTTGAATCAGCAGGAGTGGAACGGACTTGTACAAACCTTTTTGCTGTTGAGTCATTGATGTTATGGTTAGAGGAAAACTGTAGTAAGCTGCAGTCATTTCATGAAGGAGAAATAAAACTGGGATTAAATGTGCCAATACTAGGCCTACTGGTAAATTATATGACCATTTGTCCTGGTTGGGAAAATGTCCTGGGAAATTATTTCTTAAAAAGAGTGTGAACTCCTGCACACATTGAACTGTACCTGGGTTCAGGCTCCTGCTGCATTTGGCTCTTGCTGACAGGCGAGTAGCTGCTGTTGATCGCAGGTGGTGGAGCCTTCTTCAAGAACCTGCTCCCTCCTCCACCCAGGGAGCTCTGAGGTCTGAGATCCTGGCAGGACAAAAACAAGGAGGGCTCAGACAGAATCACAGAAAGTGGACTTCATCCCACTGTGGAAGTGTCCTGAGCGGTACAGCAGAGTTGTTTACCTTGGTAGAATCCCCCTGGGTCTTCCCAGCAGCAGCAGAGCCCGCTCCGTCCGCTCCATGCTCAGGGGCAGAGCTGACTGAGGACAGGTCACTCAGATCTGACAGTAGAGTGTGTGTATTTGGGGGGGCAGACCTGGTTTTCACAGACCCACCCACAGCACCCTTAAGAGAAAGAGAGTAGAAAAGACACGTTTGTGCTGTTACTCACGTGTGTCACAGCACCTATCAAAGTAATTCATTCAAACATGCTTGAAACTCACGGCATGTCCCCGTGTTGTGGCTGCAGGCTCCGGCGCGGACTCAGCGCCTCCTCCGCTGGTCCTCTTGGCGGACAGCAGGGCCTGAGCCCGGTCCAGAGCGGAGCTTCGACCGCCTCGTTTCCACATCTTTAAACTCACGCTCTTCCTTACGCTATCTGGCTAACTTTTATTAATACACTTGATATTGATTGACACATGATATTACACGCTGTCTGAACGGTAGCAACCCCACCGTGGGACACTTTGATGATCCCGCTCTGGAGACAGTAGTGTTAGCTTGCTGGCTAGAGGCTAAAACCGTGTTTACTACGTTAGCTAACCGCACACGGTGCTAAAAAGTGCCTCAGATTCATTTAGAGGTCATTTATAATCTATACAACCTCACATCAATTAGGAAACATAAAAACAGCTTATAACGTTGCCAACTTCTGACCGTACTTTGCTTTACTTTGTACATAGCGACCACACAGGCGTCCCTTGTCGCCAAGGAACAGCTTTCTTCTTCTTTGATGTTTTACGGCAGTTGGCACCCTTAACGGTAACTTTACATTACCGCCCCCTTCCGGATATGTTTCTACTCCATTTGAAATTATTCACAGTCAAAATACCACAAGTAAAACTCCTCAATTCAAAACCTTACTTAAGTAAAAGTATGTAAGTATTAACAGCAAAATGTACTCAAAGTATAAAAAGTACTCATTGCACAGTAAAATGTTTTCTATTATATCTGATGTTTTCGGATTAATATTATTGCTGCATTAATGTGTATGTGGCATTTTACTGCTGTAGATGTTTATTGTTGATTTGAACTTAAAGTACAAGTACCTTGAATTTATACTTAATCACAGTATTTGAGTAAATATAGCTACCTGGCCTCTACTCTGTTTTCCTTAACTGTGTCCATCACTTGTCTTCTGTGTATTTTCTGCATTTTGATAGGATATTTAGTTGCACTGTCTGTGTACTGTTCCCTATGGAAGCCCATCTCTACCAATTTGACAGGAAAAAAAGGAATCTTTAATTCATTATAATGAGAAACTTTCTCATTATTTTGACTTAGTATGTCATTGTAATGACAAACCTAGGCCTGTGTCTTGATTCCTCATATCCTCCAAAGCAACAGAAGCAAGTGAATAAGACAACGTTTGGCAGACCTATTGGATATTGTCATTTGAAGACTACTTTGCAAAGTGGGTATTCTCAGTGCATCCATCTGTAGCCATGCTGTCTGCCAGACATTTGTAACTGCTGGTCAATGAAGGATGCTACTTGCTCTACATTTGTCTTTTTTCGTCTCCACCAGAGCTGATTCTTTTGTAGCTTTCTCTCTAGGGTCCGGAGACAGATATTTTGTGATTCCTCCAAAACCTCTAAAATCTCACGATTTGTGAATCCACGTCTAAAGTAGTCTTCAATGACAGTATTCTTTTGGTCTCATTCACTTAATTTTGTTGCTTTGGAGGATATGAGGAATCAAGACATAGGCCTATTCTAATTTAGGCCTCTCATTATTTTGAGATACTAAGTCAAAATAATGACTTCAAGTTTCTCATTACATTGACTAAAAAAATACTTTTTTTCTGCCACATAGGCGGAAATGGGCTTCCATAGTTTCCACTGTTCATTTTTCTCTGCACTATACTTTTCCCCTCTGATTTTGAAATTCTAATATTCCGACAATTTGTCTGCTATTTGGTTTCCAGGGATACCTGAATGTGCAGGGACCTGGCGGGGACTCACGTCATGAATGTGATATTTTTCCACTGACATTTCTTGAATTGTGACCAGGAGTTTATAAAGCAGATCCTGAGGATTACTGGTTGTCCTGTCTCAATGCTCATGAGAGCTGACAGACACACACTCACTACATGTGAGTATTTTGGTTGATCTCCCCTGTTCAGCCCATCACATTGCAAACAGTTCAGTAGTGGGGTGGCTGTGGCTCACAGGTAGAGCGGGTCGTCCACTAATCTGAACGTTGTTTGTTCGATCCTCCCGCTGCATGTCCTTGAGCAAGATACTGAACCCCAAATAGTTCCCGATGCTGCGTCATTGGTGTGTGAATGTGAATGAATGAGTTAGTTGTGTGACATGTAGTGTAAAAGCGCTTTGAGTGGTCGGAAGACTAGAAAGGCGCTATACAAGTACAGGTCCATTTACCATTTACCATTTACCTAGC